AGGTATGGTTGATATTCATCAGCTAACGATTTCACATGTTCTTGGGTAGGGTAACCAAGTCTACTGCAAATATCCAGACTAATATATGAGGAGTGGAATAAGGTTCTGAAAAAAGAGGAATAAAGAAGACGGGACGAGGAGCGGAACAGAAAATACGTTTATAGATAAAACAAAGGTATGTTTACTCAGGCTTTTTTAATGTCATTACTGTACACCTGCACTTATGTAGGTTAATGAAGACAAATTATTGGTGAGATAACTATTGGGAAGTTTGTCGAAAGAATAGAGGAAATTCAGAAGTACCAAGTTGTTAGTAATAATGTTGATTTACAAAATATAATAAAGAGGATCAGTGATATAATTTTTTGTTTTATATATTCTTTTTATTTTTAACTCTGCAGCTCAAGAAATTATGAATGAGCTCTTTTTTAGTATAGTTATCCAGACCAGCTTGTAATAGGATTTCTCGGTAGGAAGTAAAAACCAGTGCAAGGTTACAGACATGAGTTGTAGACGAGGTTAACTAGGAAAAGTAACATCAATATCACTGATTTGTTACATCCTGCTATATCGTAAGGAGCCGTAAGCAAACAAAATGTTCTGCCACACAGACATGGGTAGATTGAGGTTATCGCCCCACCGTCATGAATGCTGGTCAGAAACTCCACCCTCCCTCCTTTTGTGATGTTAGGCTCTCTTACGTTTAATGGTTGATTATAAATAATGGTCTCTAGTCTACTCTAATTTTTTTTGTAAACCTTATCGGAATTCACTTTCTCTACTAGCTCCATATTACAAGCCATCCAGATAACTTCGCCAGAGAAAATATCCACGAAGCATATCACACTGATTTTAAGTAAACGAATGGTATGATTTGTAAGATGGGGAATGTAAATATAATGTGAGTATCGTCTTATAAACTCAAGAAAAGCATAGACCAACCTATAAAAAATTGAGCTTTTGAAGCAAATATCGCTCTTAAATCACCACAGTAGGCAATACAGTCAGTGATATTTTCAGTCACAGGATGAGTGCGGCCTACATGATAATCAGAGAAAGCATCAGTTGTGACGATGAATGGTGCAAATTCCATCCAATGTGCGATAATGATATGAATTTCTTCCATGGAGGTCGGTTAAACACACTAATGGTATTTTTATACTGCAGGGGATTCGCCCGACTGCTTACATTTACGACTTGCACAAGTGATTGTCTTTAAAACGCTAGCAAAATTGGTGAACTCCTGTGTTACTTATTAAGGGAGTAAATAATTGAAAAATTGCTGATATATTTTGTTAAATAAATATCATTTCAAGAAGACGGCTCATTATGAAAATAGTTGTTATTAAATTTGTCAACTGGTTTTGTGCTTCGATTCATATCTAATTTCAACGTGATTATTAAGCGGTAACAGTGCTTTATGGTGATGTCGAGAGGCGATTAAGAGCAATTACTAATATTTCCGATTGAGCATTCCCTTTGGAGAATCAATGAGCTCTATTTTAGATGCTTGATACTTTTGGTGGCAATCTGAATAACGCTAACGAATCTGGGCTGCCTGATTATACGAGAAATTGCGGTGGGAAATGTTTATCGACTTAATGCGAAACCTTCATAAGTATGTGCTCATAACCGGGACAGCAACTAAACTAATGAGCTGAATGATTATTGAATGTCATATGCCTCATCTGAAGACAGTATCATTTTCACGGTAGTAGGTTGACATATGAAATCATAAAATCTATCTTGCTGTAAAAACGAGTTTGAGGTTGGTGCTTCTGTATATATAATATATATATGACCGGTCTAAGTCGATCCAAAAAGTTGCATGTTTTAAAGTACAATGAACGGAGTAGATCATTAGATGAAAAAATGGAGCAACTAGATCCTCTTTGGAATTCAGCATTGCTTCGAGATTCGATGTATTTGGTTGTATAATTGGAGTCTATATAAACAACCCTTAATAATCAACTTGTCGATGTTTCTTTGCATTTGTACCACGAGATGAGTCTCACGACTGTTCACAAGTATCCACTCACATAAGTTCGGATATTTGACTTGTTGATCTACATAGCCCCCTGGGTCAAGCTTTACATTTTCAACACGATGGTTGACAAACTTACTTGATAATCTTAAGTTCGTCCGAAAAATTGTTCTGCCACCAAATATTGTAAATCAGTTTTGACAGCGGTTCTTGATGTGGCTACTGTAAACTTTGTGAAACTCTCGATGCATGCAAGTGAAAAATCGAAACCATTAGAGGGTTGTAAATGAAATCCCAAATCTATATTAACGTGTATCAAATGTTCTTCTGGCTAAAAAATACTCCGAATGATGAAGTCATATAATGGTTAACCGTTGACTGTTGAGACACACGAGATTCTCTGATGCACTTGCTACATTTTCCTGTTAAGTAGGCTATTTCTATCTAATATTGGTTAGTTTGGTAGCAGAGTATAGAATTATATTAATAATAATTGTCATAAAGTTTCGGAAAGGAAGAGTGATGACATCATTTTGGTCGATCTGAGACTGAGGTTCTTTGTTGGGACTAGATTTTGCAATTATTTCTGCTTGTCTGCTAATACATTGACATTTTCGGTCGACCGTTGAATTGCGTTCATTTCCAAGGAGATAATTCATTCGCTTCCCTTCACATCCCGTATGATAGTACTAGTCTCAAGAATATCTTTTTCTGCCACTCAGATATTACGATGTGCTCTGACCAAGTTGATTTAAGTAAATGCCTTCATACACTGTAATACGCTTGTGAAATCTTGAATGTTGTGTATTTGAAAACCCAGCTGTTATGATTTGACGGTAAAAAGCATTTTATTCCACACATAGTACATAGTCATTGTTTCCATTTCTAGGCATCGGTTGAGGGGATGCTTATTGGATCACAGAGAGGCGGATAATATGCAATCGTTGTCAGATATTGATAAATCCGGATATGCTGGTCTTTAGATTAATAAATACTAGTTTCTTGTTCTTTGTCGGGCTTTTAGGTTCACTTTGAGACAGGAGTTAGATTCTGTCAGGTTCAAGACTTCCATTAGGGAGCATGCATACTCTCTTGTTTTAGGACTGTTTCTTTCATGGTGTTGTCGCCAACCATGACCTATCATCTCCTGTTTCTTCTTGGAAATGCATTTGGATTCCTTGATCATCAGGAGAGGATGGGCGGCTCATCATAGGACGTTTAATAACGGCGCATGTTTGAGAGAATAAAAAGACTCAATAGTGTATTACAGACTTCTTTACAAACTGCAGGGAAGACTGAATACAAGTCGAAGTATCGGATATCCGTAGATTGAACTTATGCCTAGCTCGGCAAATTACAAATCTAGATCGCAAAGATCATGTCGTCATTTCGTATTCATGATAGTGTCTATTTCCACATGTGAAAAGTTTTTCTTATTTTAGTTGCCTTGATTCTGAAGTGAGTCCGACAATGTATAGTTTATAATGAAAATACAAGTCAGGTACGAATGAAGGCCAATAGTTTTGACACGGAAAATGCGCAACAAACTGATGAAAAAATGTGCGTAGTAATCTGTTAGAGGCTTTCATTTCCAGACAAAATAGGTTAAATAGGAATACACGTGTATTATTTGGGACTCAACAGCGTTAATTCTTGCTTCATATATATATATATATATATATATATATATATATATATATATATATATATATATACATCCATACATATTTGTATAGATGTCCAAGTCAGAAACCCGGTTGTTGGAGGTCTTTCCCAGGTCTTGTTCTGCAAAATAGTTGGTCAGGCGGTATAGATGAATTTTCTACTATACCAGTTCACTCCGGCTCCCATAGGTGCAGGTTGAAACGCGCTGTCCCAAATTCGATACCAAAAACACAATAATTCTGGGAGAAAACTGTCTTTATTCATTATGAAATGGAAATACAAACAATTAACCAACTATTAATACACCTTCTAATTCATAATTACCACTATGGGTATCCGTTTCCAGAAGAATAAGTGCTACCAGTTCTTACTGCTACGGTATCAAATCCAAATATGGCTGTAGCCATATTAAACATCAAATTTAAACAACATATGTACAGTTCAGAAGGAAACATAAAAACTTCAATATAAGTACAAGATATAAAAGTAATAACAATATACAATGATAAAATCTCAAAATGGAATCAAATAGAGTACCAAAATGTCAACAGAAAGAGTCAGTCATATCATAACACAAATATATACACATGGAGGGATCTTCCGAAAAATAAAACATTCAAAATAGATTCTACAGTCGGTTATTTTCATAGCTAACAAACCGAAAATTTGGATCCGATCATAGCCTAATGTCCTGTTTCTTCCAGCCACTTAAAAAGTACCCTATGGGAAGGTTGAATCTTCACGTAGTCATAAACGGCAAGGAATAATACTGGTTGTTTTTTAATCTATCATTCTCTAAACGTAGTTTCTACGTAGTATGCAACGGAGCGTCAACCGGAAGAGTGTCGGATCAGAGTGCATGTTGCGTTTGAACTGACTTGAAGACTAGAAACCATGGGAAAGAAGATGGTCAGTAGTTCGCTTGTTGTGTAGATGTAAGTCTGAAGTTATGTTGCGTAAACCTGTTAGCCCTGTCCACTCTAAATATATTTTTACCCTACACGGATTTGAAATCTTCGTTCATTACAATATGACTCATCTTTTTATCAGTAAGAGGGTTTTCGAAATATTTGAGTGTCACTGAAATCCTGAGCCAATCCATATTTGACAATCAAATAGAATATAGGACCATTAAGTGTCTGTTTCTTTTTAGAATGAGACTCAGCACAGCGAACTCATGACTTGAAAGCAGAAACCGAACGGAATGTCCAAAGTTTCGCTCGCGAACATTCAACATCTTGACAACTAAGCTGGAATCTGAAACGTTTACTGTCTAATTTTAAACATTTTACTATAATGCGCGACTATCATCTATTATTTTAACTAAATAATCATCAATCAAACAGCCTTTAATTTATGTGCCATTATTAATCTTCATGGACCTATCAAGGTCAGCTGTTGTTTGCGTAAGGAAACCTCGATAAAAATTTAATACAGAACCTAGCACAACTATTTCAAACAACACAGCATTAGAATTCTTCGTTCAATCTTTATAAGCAAACACAGTTGTGATGATTCATTTAGAGATGCTTATTTTTATCCGTGTTATGATTTATTACAGAAATCTGTGTTTCAGATGAGTATTCGTGAGTAACTGTTATAATTGGTGCATGAAGTTCTAAATGTCTTGCTTTTTCCCGGAATTTTACAAAATATGAGTCTGGTGTAACCTTTGTTGTTCTCAAGTGGTTTGCTCTAGTACCATATTTCCCACTTCTCTTACTTCATCATAATTATATTTTGCATGTTTACATTGATATAAAATCAGTTGTCGCATGTTAAATCCTTAGCACTAAATTTCTTGATACACCTGTAGTTCGTAATCTTTGTTGAATATAAAATATTCATGTGCACCTTTAGAGTACCACATTATAAACCTTGACAGTAAACTGTGTTTTCCTCAAAGTTTCATATATTCATGTTGGGATCATAGTACTTTCAGTACCAGAAAAGGCCTCAAGAATGTTGCCAAAGTGTATGGAAATATTTGATAGACATCAATATCAGGACCAACAAGCTAGTTTGCATCAGCGTCGATCATGTACCAACTAAATCTCTACCCTAAAACGCTATCATAGACAATTAGTTAAATGGAACTCATCACTATGAACCCAGCCTCTTGATTTTAAGCAGTCATTCAACAGCACGGATAGAATTATGTAGAAATCTCAACACTAATATGTACCTAACAAGATCGTCACTATCATATGGAACCACAGCAATGGATGCTAAAGAAGACAGCCAATGTAGCAATGGCTGCCGTATAATTAGATCTCAACATACACGAAGGGAAAAGCAAGATCTTGGAATATAATACGGTGAGCATCATTCCAGTCAAACTTGATAGCGAAACAAGTCGGTTGATAGTAAAGAAATTGCCTTAATACCATAGATATTCTGTCGTTAGTATAATCGCTAAGGCTAGTGGCTTCGCAAAAATGTAGTCAGTAACATGTCTGGAAGTTTCTTTTATGTCAAGACTCATGATTGGCAAATGCAATGAAAAGCAGTTATCAACAAGTTTCTGGACCCCTTTTTAAAGCCTTCAGATGAATACCTATAGTAGCCAACTGATATAGTCAATATAACTACCTCAGAGAATAGACGATCATAACTACTCACACGGTCATTTGTGACTTTAATCTCTAGCAGTTAGTAAGTTGGTTTACCTGTGTTGATCTTCGCAATACGCCTGTAAAGGATTAGTTTATTCCCGAATGTCTACTGATAGGGCTGATACTGTTTACTCCAATGTAGACGTCCCAGTCGTTGACCTCACCATCTTCTTTCTGAGCTTATTAAATTTACAATCAGATAAATATCTTAAGCTGCTGTTTAGTCTTATCATCATGTAATTAGATTGGATGAAGCAACTTTTCTCGGATGTTTTCTAAAACCTTTCCATCTATAGCGGTTAGAATAACAGTCTACTAGCTAAATATGAGCTAACTATTTGTTTTCTTTAATTTAGGGTGGTGTATCTTTACTTTCAATCTCTTTTCAGCTGTCTGAGTAAGGCATTAAAATACGTTCCCAGTTCTAAACTAATTTTTTCCAGGGTAAACAAACGAGGATGCAACCCATCCAGATCTTCGTTAAGTAAACCGTGGAAAAAGTACTTTCGTGATCGAGATCTCAGTCATATGAGTGTTAGAGTTTTAACAGTAACGTCTTTCATACATATCTCGGAAAAGTAGTCTGATAATCTTTAAGCTTTGTTTGATTCAACTGATATGTTTGAGTTCTCATATAATTGCGGCATGTGAATTCCATCCTAAAAGGCCTTGGCCTGGACGAGAGTCGGAAGTGTCCTTTCTCCCATCCTCACATGACTACGCGTGTATAGCCACTGCTAGAGAATTCCTACCCACTGCCTCATAGCGGGGTGATCCTTTCGAAATCGAGAAGACGAAAAGCTAGTATCCGGCACCTTAACTGTGTGTGTGGGTACGGAGAGACTATCTAGGGAGGTTGGAAAACCTTAATTTCAGACTAATGATGCAAATGGGCTCCAGAATCCTGGTAGAGCTAGTGGTGTATGAACCTACTCTTGGTCGCCGGTTACCATGAGACCGTATCTACTGACGTTGTTTTACAGCCTTGTGGATCAGGTGTCTTGGTCAAGGGCTTGGATATTGACGTAAATATTTTATGATCAGTCGTTCAGAAAGTCTTGAGGCTAATGGGTCCATTTAAAGGGGGTGTAAAGTAGCTTACGTGGAATTGACTGTGATGTAAAGTGATATGTGGCCTCTTCTAATACGGCATTTAATGTAATTCAACCGAATGATTAGATTCACCAACCGTAATCCCTGACTAAACAAATGATAAGCTTTCTAGTAATATTTTTTACTTACATGCCTTTGGGAAAAACTCTTCACTCAGTCAGCTACAACGTAGAACTTTGTACGTACTTACATACATCATTTTACGTTGCCATACCACATTGACACACAGATTGGATTTTCAATTCAAGTCCCGTAGTAGTAGAGGTGGTAGAAGCATTAGCGGTGATCAGCAAGATTAGGGTTCGAAGTTATGCTTCAGGAAGTGTATTCCGGTGGAATGAATTTTTCTAAAAAGAGAAAAATACGGTCATGAGGAACTCAGAAGATTAGAATTTGAGGGAAGGGAAAGAATAAATGTTTCTGTGCCATTGGAAACGATTTTGATCCATGTTATTCAAAGTCTGTAACAATCGGTTATTATCATCTCATGTACCCCAACCTGGTAGTCTACACCTACCAACATGGCTCAGTCCAGAAGTCGGTGTCTTTTTGTCATGTTTTGGTTTGGCCGCCCCTAGCTCTCTTCCAGCCTAATCCTACACCGTAAAACATAGCTCGTCGAGGCAGTCGGCAGCTGGGCATACGTAACCCTTGTCCCAACCACCTCAACTGACGAAAGTTCATGGCTTCATCAGTTGATCTGCTATCCTTGCTTAAGTACCCGTTTCCTAACAGCAACATCGCTCACTCGGTGGTCCCAGGTCCCTGCTTTGAAGACACCTATGATCGAATACTAATAGCCTACGAATATCCTCTGCTGTTACTGGACATGTTTCACAGACATGAATAAGAATGGAGCAAACTGCTGCGCAGTACACTCGTACTTTGGTTGGCAGACGGATATGTCGCTTACTCTATAAGTGATGTAAGTTGGCAAAAGCCATTTGAGCCTTCTGTATCCGTTCTGGGATTTCGGCACTCCACCACATTTTATTATTTGGTTCATATATCGATATAACGTTTTATTTGTTGATATTGACAATCAAAAATCTCGTATTAACAAATCATCAAAAGCTTTAATAACACTATCTCATAGGCTGTTTTAGTGAGGAAATTACGATTATGACTTGCTATTCTGTTTTATAAGTTGTCACTGGGCTATAATTAATAAAGTTTCTAGGTATTTCGTATGCTGGAAACAATTTGGTCAACTCATTCTTAGGTATGGATTGTGAGTATGTATTTGTCTAGAAAATATTTTTGGGTTGTGGAGATTATTGAGTTTCATTAAAATGATAAATCGATTATTGTTAGACCACTATTGGGAACCTGAAATCACTAGTTGGCTGATTCGTCTTAGTATGTTTGCTAGACCGAAGGTCCTGAGTTCGGTTTTCCGCTCTCAGGGTCGTAAATGTGCACTTCCGTTGGGTTCCACTCTAGGGCGAAGCAGCCTTCAGGTTTTCAAAAGTGGTCTAACATAGATCAATGCATGATTCCAGTGTAATATCTGTCATTAGTTTGTAACATATAGTTGCTATTTTATAATAATCACAATAAACTAAGTGGTTTATTTTTAATAAAAATTAAGGATATTTTAATTTTTTTAAAACATTTTGAAAAACAGCCAAATTGTTGACAAATCTACTAACAGGAATTATTTACGATGACTTCAAATTCCTTGATAGAAGCAGGCTCAATTGTTATGCTTCGAGCTATAGAACTTGAAAAACAATTGAAATTCACGGAAAGTTTAACATGCTATGAAGAAAGTATCGGTTTATTCATCAAAGCTCTTCGTACTATTCCTGAAAATACACGTAATATTTGTCTACTTTACTAAATCTTTGTTTTTAGAATTAGATTTTAAAGATAAACTCAGACTCAAAGTTTCCGAGTATATAACTCATGCAGAAAAACTCAAGGCGAAACTTAAAAAAGAATCAGAAAGTCAGTTCAATTGAAATAGCAAACAAACAAAAAAAAATATTCCACTTAATTTTTTTTCAATACTAGATGGAAATTATCACGAACAAATAGTTATCGAAGAAGGTTCCACTGGTTATGGTTATAAAAAAATTTTTGGAAGATTTCTTGAAGATGGTACAGTTAGAAAAGTTTGGATGGAGGATCCATATATCAGGAATAGTAGCCAAGTAAATACAAAATGTTTTCTATCAATAAACAATTGTTATTTGTTTTTAGATTGAGAATTTTTCTCACTTTTGTGAAATTATGATTCAATCGCCGTCGAATGTAAAAAATATTTATTTGACTACTGGAAAAGATGTTCAGGTGTGTTGATCTATTTGTCAATTATTCATTGAATCATTTCTTATAATCTACTTATTTCTTACCACTATGGTGTGTATACCTTATCCGATTCTTAGACATTCATTAGAAAAGAAGAATGTGCAACTCAAAATATCATTGAAGTTAATTGATTAAAGCGACCTATATGGTTTCACCAACTTTGTTATGTTATTCTTCTTACACATGTGACATTTTTAATTTATCTGGAATTGTTATTTCTCCACAATAATTCACTTATGTTACTGTATAGTAGTCCCCTCGTCGGTAATATCTTATTACTAACTTTGGTTACAATTTGGTTTCACTAGTTAATACAACTAAATGAAAAAGTATAGATTCTTCCAATAAGCATTGATATTTACACATAATATGTGAGTGAAAATGACTAAAGTCGATAGGCCAGGAATGAAACTTGCCATATATAAAAATAGTGGCTAAATCATTCAACTACACATTAGTTATTTATTCACATAAAAGTGTAATTTATCGCTTATCTGTAAATTTTATTATGAGTGAACAAATGAATTATATCCTATTATTATCATTATTATTATTATTATTATTATTATTATTATTATTATTATTATTATTATTATTATTATTATTATTATTATTCTATTATAGCATGCAGATGAACAAATAGCAAAGTTCGAAATTTTAAAAGAGGATTTAGAAAAGCATTCAGTCACTTTTGAATGGATATTTTCGGATACATTACATGATAGAGAAATACGGTTAGTTAGTGCTTAGGTGAATAAAAAACTTTTGTTGGTGTTGTTTTATTTTGATAGTTTTGGATTGTAATTATCTGACTGTTTTTTTTTTTTTGAAAACTTTTGAATTGTGATCTCGCTGTACTACGGTCAATTCAAAAAGATATATGTATGTGTACAGTGTGAAAATATCCTATCCTTACGTATGTGATTAACCTTTTTTAAAATCATAATAGAGTTTGTAACTTTTAGGCTAATCATTCCAATACTTCATTTTAATTTAATTTACTGATTAATAAAAAAATAATCACAGTTCAGCAGTATTTTTTCTTTGTTGTGTTTTGCACGTGATGTGCTAATACGAGAAAGTGTTGAACGTGAATGTCTAAATAAAACGACTGGTCAATTACACTCTTGAGCATCAATGCACATTCATGCCTACATATATTGTCTCGATAAGTTACTATTTAACTTCCTGACAATTATTCACTTTATACATAATCGTTGATTTGTGTTCCATTGAAATCATTTACGTTTCTTTTTCAAATGTTTTTTGTTGTTATGATAAAAAACAGATTTGATAATGGATGGATTGTTAAAATTGGTCGTGGCTTAGACTATATACGTCGACCTCGGCATAAATTTTGTGGTCTTGGTGTACATGACTATGAATTTAGGACATGTTCAGCAACAACTATTGACATATTCCATTCTTCTATTTTACGTCAAGACATATAAAAAAATAAACATGAAATGTTTGTTTTTTTTGTATAACCAATATTATAGTATATGATGTTATTTTATTTGTTTCACGTTGAAAATATAAATCTGTAAGGGATGAATGAAAAATATTGACAATTTCAAACATAAAACATTTTCGATAACTTTCTATAATCATTAGTCTTTCATCTATTTTTTGTTAAAAAAAAAAAGAAATTGTTTTACAAAACCTTTTGTTTTTATGTTACTCGAACAGATTGTTCTTTGTTTATTTTTTTTTAACTCACTTAGTCATCATTGTATTTATGCATTGAAGGAGAGAAGCATTTAATTTTGAGATTTGAAGCATTCAGTAATTTCTTATACCACTTAAGCACTTTAGGTATTAAAATAAGCAATGTAGAACGTGAAGCGTAGGTATATCAACATTTCAATGCAGCCAAACTTGCGTTGACCTTCTCAAGTCGACCAGTGATGTCTACCCAAACGAAGGATAAGTTACCTCAGTTGGCCTCCTCTATGTGCATTTACAAATTCAGCTGCTCCTGTGAAGATAGCTATATCGGGCGTACTACTAGGCAACTTAACCAACGAATGAACGAACATCTCTCAGCATGGTTTGAAAAGGGTCAGTCAAAAATAATACGCAGTTCGATCTTAGCACACCTGGTTGATAGTTGTCATATTGTAGATAAGTCTAGATCTTTTCGAGTGATCTATCGTATACCTAAATGCAAGAATAATAAAAATGGTAAAAATATCATAAATAGTAGAAAAGATGGACTAGGAATAGTTTTGTGAAGTGTTACAATATAAGATAATGTTAAAAATTAATATTTGAAGTAAGACAAGTGAATGCATAGGTACTATTGTAACTGATACTGAACTATGTCACCCAACAGTAATCCTGTGGACACCAATAAAATGGTCTGCATCTATTGATGCATTACATTCTAATAGTTCATGATTTCGTGAATTAATGTCACGTCTTGGTTTAGACACCAGTAGTTTTCTTCTAACTTATTCTTACAACAGCCAGTACCACGTGTCGAAATAGACAGGGGATTCGGCAAAGGAAATTTATCTAGAATACTGAATTCGGTAAATCCTATGCAAATAAACTAATCTATAATATAAACTTTGAATAATAAATGATTCACATGAATGAATTCTGTAAATCTTAACTTATTTCATTTCATCATTGGAAGTGATGGTCATCAAACATGGACGTTTTGTGACTAATGTGCGACAGCAGTATCAACCTGTTAGGATATTCATCCAATATCCTAAGAGAATTATTGGTCAAATCATATTGGTCGATCCCTATTGGTCAAAATTATGGTCGTTTTAACTGTCAAAGTCAAATACTTCAATGTTGTCTCTTAATGGTCATCCGGACTGTCAATGTCATTTCAAATGTTACTTCCTATTGGTCGTCTTAACTGTCAATGCCACAGAATTCGATGCTGTTTCCTATTTGACCAAAATGTATAAATACGCATTATCTGTAACATTTTATGACCAGGGCTCGGTCCCGGATCCCTAGTCCGGGATCCTGATTCTCTTCTGGATCCGGACCTCGTACTTTCTGGATGCTTGTACAATACAGGTTCTACTTCATATCACGCCTTATTTTTTACTAAATATGGGGTTGGGATAACCGGATTTGAGTGGCATGTCGTGTCACCGGATCCTCGATCTTCGCTCTCGTTTTCCGACTAGGTAAACTCGTAATAGTTCAAGCATATCAGGATGATGTGTTTACGTGCAGGCGTAACACAACCACTCGTGAATCCTTTTGAATGTGAAGATTGCACATTGGAAATATGCTTTTAACTGCTGTAAATGAATGTGCTTGTATTGCCATATATATATATATATATATATATAATTACTCATTGTAAAGTCTAGTTAATTGATCTTGATGCAAATAACTTGTTAAAATGATAAACAATGATTCTTTATAAATATAAATTTAGCATAAAGTTAACAAAATTCCAGGTGATGTTTACGAAAGATGTATCATGAGATTATTGTATGTGATTAAATTTGAAATATTTCATTTTGATTATTAAAAAAAGATAATTTAGTGTCGTATTCTATTTTACGCATTATAAATCTATTGAAATTGTAATTCATGAATCATTTTGAATTCTCCAATGGCAACGTGACTGCACAGTTAACATGTAAGTCAATGTTAAAGAATGAAATAAATTTAAAGCAAAAACTATGTAGAATATAAAATCTTCTATAAAGAATATGTCATCTTGATGCTTGATTTAGTATTGGTCAAGATATTCAATCATGTTGTAATGGTTAGTTATTGATTTCTATTTTAATGTACTTCTTGTAATCATATTTATCAGATTACTCATTCATTCCGAGTCAGGCCTAAGTTTTGTAATTCTTACTGGTATAGGTTTTCGGATAACGTGTCATCAACATTCTTTACCTATCTTCTCGATGCACACAATAATAAATAAATAATAATAATAAAACTTGTTTTTTACTATCAAGATGGTCTTCATTGCTAACCTACCCACTAATACGTTCACCAGCGAAATTTACAAGATATAGATCTGTTATTATTTTCATCCTGAACCATAGATCTCCTCGTTTGTAAAAAACATATTGGTTCGTAGTCAATCAGTTAGTCAGTTACAACGTAGAACTTCGTACATATGCACATAAGTTCAGGTTGCCATACCGCGTCAGCACATTTGTTAGTAGTTGAACTCAATATGATCATTCTACGATTTTAGTGGGTGAAGAGATGTTACCGATGTTTCGTTGAAGTTTCTTTTAAAGTTGATTTTACGATTGATTAGAAAATAAAGTCTCTTCGAACCTTATTTCATTTATCGCTATGCCAATACGATCTGGATCTGCACTTACCCGGTCGATTATCAATCAGTGTGTGAATAACCCGAATTCCGATGACAATTAAAACTGCGATAAAACATTGCAGAAATCACATGATTGGCCGCCTTTACACTTCATGAATGCTTGCGTCCTGTAGATAGTGTATTCGAAGTCAGTGGACTTTATAATAAACTAATAGTGAAGGTCACAATGATTTGGTATATGGTGTTAAGTTATAATCAATATATTAGTGCAATAAATCATATGGATAAAATGCATAATAGGAGAATTTCACCTCGTTCATGGAGATAATAATGATGATAGTAATAACGTCGTATGAATATAATATGCGGTAAACAGATGTTATCAAGATAATTATGATAAGAAATTCATGTGAACTAAAGGAGGTATAAACACAAAAGGAATTGAAGTGGGAAGGAGTCAGAGGCCTATATTATTCATCTTAGGTATTTGGCGCTCCAATCATAGACCAAGATAAAAACAGGCTGAATATACCTCTTTTGAGTATATGAGTTTTTTGAAGTTGATCCAAATAGTTTCAGCTATGTAGCACAGTTGTATTCTAGCTTATTTAAGTGGATTGTTAGGAACTTGATGCAATACAGAGATAGCATCTGTTTTAGCATTATGTTTTATCATCAACTAAATGAGAAAGGTTGGTTCTGTTAACAAATCAAGTATAATTGTCTCAGACTGATGATCAATCGTTGTAGGCAGGACTTGGATTCAAATCGCAGCTATTGAGACCAGCATCACACTTAAAAGCACTAAGAACTCTAGCGTTTACTTAGGATTGTATGGAATTTATGTATAATCTGTATCATAATCTTGCATTGTCTGCTTCAAATAAGAATATATAAAAATCAAAAACAAAAAAATCACATAAATCAAAACGTTTTTGTAAACGATACAATCAATGTTAAGAGAATGCAAGAATCCTACGCTAACATATCGATCACATTCATTTTAATTAAGTTTGTCAACTGAGTATTTCATATCACTAATTTGGAATGACTTAAATATCCCTTGTGGGCGGGGGCGTCGTCGCAGAGCCCAAATGATAACTACCCTTGGCTGGCTGTACAAGGCTTTTTTACAAGTAAATTTAAATGCGTTAACAACTTGCTTGAAAAAGCTTTATCTCATTCATCAGAAATCTGTGAAGCAATTTGAGAAGTGCCAATTTTAAGAAGTTCTAATCTATTGTGAGAAGATAAGTTCGTTATAGATATTTATTGTCTGAAGGGAGCAATTTACTCTCGTTACACACCGGTGCAGTCAGGAGTACAACTTCAACCTCTCATCAACAGCTTTCTGATTTTTACCTAATCGCATCTAAAATGAATTCGCCAAAAAATAACTCTTTCTTACGTGTATGGCTCCCCAAAGGACCTTGATGACATGGTAAAACCTAATGAAAGAAGCGTTCAATCCAAAGTAACTTGATCGGATTATCAGTGTACAAGTCCGATTACCGTTTAAGGTACCATTTACTGTGACTTGATTGTTAAATGCAGCTGTTGAGTAAATGATTAAATAAACACTGGTTTTGCCTTGTTTTTCGTATTTAGTGAATAAGTCAATGTACATATCGGTGTTTTTCCTAAAGAAACAATAACATTTGTAAACTACAAATGGGTGTACTTTATAGTATAACAACATATACTATCGTCGCTTAAAAAAAAATGTATGTACGTATGTAAAGAAGTTTAGATAGTATAGTGAAATTCAGTTCGAAGACATGAAAGGCATATTTATCATTTAAAACATCTTGTCTAGGTTATATAACATAATTATCGATCGTTACACATATGAATCACGAAAACACAAAATTTAGTCATATCCTTATCAGGTAGGGAATAAAAATATGGTTTACTACCATAGTTATCACCTTGTACCACTTTACTTCTTTAGCTTTAACATATTATGATAGGGGACGTTAATATAATTGTGTACAGTTGATGTCATTTTTCATCATACTATATGAGTGGTATTGCCACTGAACAGTAATGTGTAGAATATCATTTTTGAATTCACAAAATTGATAAATTCGAGTGGAGTTTAAGAGAAGAGAACTTCATGGATTTAATAAAGTAGTTTGTTGAGGGGAGAGATAATAATGTTTAAATCATAAATCTACTACAACCAAATAACCACTGAAAACTAAAAAGCATTGGAAATTACTTACAGTCTACTACAAGACTGTCCAGCATCTCATATTCACAAATTCATCATTTAGTCTTCTCACGGTAGACGAGTTAGTTCCTCACAACTGAGTTGGTGTCCAATGATCCACATTTCTAAACCAAACCGACTCGATAGATTGCATGTGTGTCACTCTAAACTAACAGTGATCTGTTGTGTGCCCCA